CTACTACATCAATCACTTTGGGTACTACTACATTGTTTACTTTTGAATACTATTATTGACCTAGTGTTTTGTTAGCAAGCAGATTTGTCCAAAATTTTTATTTTAAACTTGAGATTTTGTTAATATACTAGAAACTTTCTATTTATCTATACTGAAAAGTTTGCTTTTATCATGTCATTTGCGTAAAAAAATGCCAGGCCTTGCTCACTTATTTGTTCTGAACTGCTTGAATTAATTTTTAGTAATCTTAAGATTAAAGATATACTATATTCCTGTCTTATTGTGAATTATCAATGAAATTTTGAAGCATTTTGAGTTATTTTAAAGCAAAAAGAAAGGGAACTTCATAAAGATCTTGATTTTATAAAATATCAGTTAGACTGAAGTAAACAAGAAATAATCCATATTCATATAGTTTTTTATACTCCGTATTATGATTGGATTACAGCAGGAGAAAAAATTGCAAATGTTTATGCAATAATCAAATCTCATATAAATAATCTTATAAGAATTTTTTCCTATTTTATTAAGTCTTCTATTTTACGAAATAATTTCATGTACAATGGCAAAATCTTTATAAACAGACAAAAAAATTGTTAAAAAATATTGATCTACTTAATGATATTAATAATACATAAAAAGAGCAAATATATAGACAAAATTGTTGAGCTATATTGTTAAGTACTCTTAGCCAAAATTGCCACTTTTTGCTAAAAATACTAATAATACTTATTTTTTACTTATATAATAGTAGTAATCAAGTTTAATTTTACTTTTCTAGATTTGCATATATTCAGATCAATTCTTCTGACCAAACTAATCTGGAACTGGTGATCACTACTGCAAATTTCTGTATATGATATTTTATTGTACCTATAAAATGCAAGATGAAATTGATACTAAAGCTCTGGCATATGCCTAGACATGTGAAGAAAAATACTTAGGCAACGTTAGTCTTAATACATATTTATGGTTATGTAAAAAGGATCATCAATAGGAGGCACCATATAAAAATATGAAACAGAATTATAGATGGTACAACATTTATCCTAATATACTGAAATGAATATACCAATATATATTTAAGGATTTATTACATAAAAAATTTCCACTCTAAAAGCCTAAATTTTTAGAAGGATTACATCTAGATAGTTATAATGAAGAATTAAGCTTAGCCTTTGAATATAGCGATAACTAATATTATCAAATTGTCTTTTTTTTCATCTACAAAGGCAGATAAATCTAAACACACAAATCTGACATGATTGGAAAAAGAGAGCGTTATATTATTGAAAAGAAGTAATCCTTATTACAATTTCTACTGTGTAGTAAACTTAGAAACTTTTATAAGGAGCACCTTATATACATTTGGTTATCTTCTAATATCCACCTAGAAGGTAACATAGATTCTTTCTTAATATACATTAACTGTTCTCTTATAAAAAGTCATTGAGGTCCTGATTTATCTAAATAATCTAATAATAATTCTCCAAATCTTATGCAGACTAGGAGATTATATCAGATCTATTATTCTGCATCATTTGAAAGGTCATTTTCTCACTCTCCAGAAGCAAGTAAAAATCAGATAGTAGTATCCTTTAGTAGTTGTGATTCATCAACACTTATTGGGTAATTATATTTTACTGATGGTTTGGAATATATCCGCTCAAGTTTTGTAGCATTATTAGGATTCATTCCAATCAATCGAGTTAGGCTATCATTTATATTATCAACAATTTTTCTTGCAAACCGCTCATATTTTCTACAGTACTTACTAGTAGGCAAGAGAAACTCTACCAAATATTAATTTTTAAAAACTCTTCTAGAAAAATGTCTGGTATAATTGTTAAGAATAGCTAAGCTTATATGTCTGAAATATGCTATAATTCTTCAGATTTCAACATCATGTTCATTCATTAATAAAGTTACGTATCCTATAAACTCAGTACTCTTATCATATTATAATTTTTGAGGCCAATTAAGAGGCTTATCAGAATTATCATATATACTCTTAAATGCTTTCGTGACTTTTTTACTACTTTTTGATATTAAAAAACAAAATCTTTAAATCTAGTCATACAATTTATAACTAATAATACATAATAAAATATTGGACTAACATCTAATAAATTTGTATTTATATCATCATATAGTATTTTGATCAAATCACATTGGTGCATGGTATTTGGCTTTATGATTTTAGAATAACTGGCATAAGGTATATGCTTTGGTGAAAGACAAAAAATTTGATACAATATTTAGCTCTCAAGCCATTTTTTTACATCAATAAATGGAAAGCTGTAACCAGTTTTTTTACAAGTATCCCATAATCCTTTAATATTTTGATACAGACCTTCAGGATGGTAATATAGTTTTTGCAAGGCAAGATGCTGATCTAAATTATGAGCTTTTTAGAGATCGATATTAATTGTAGATATTTGTTTTGCTATGATTTGATCTAGCTTTCGCACTTTTTGAGGATCGATATAAATAACCAGTTTTCTTATTCCAATTTTTTTCCTTACAGTTAACAAAATATATTTCTTGAATAATTATCCTACTTTTCAAAATACAATGGAGTATTATAAACTATGTAAATTAGATAAAACTATATCTTTAAAAAACAGAATCCATTCGCTTCTAAATATCCATTTAGACTACTAGTTGCAGAAACCTCTAAGTCTAAAAGACAAATATGGTAGTACATCTGCTTCTAGGAAGTAAATATCCAAAAATCTATCTGTAGATATCTGGTAAAAAGTGTAGTCATAAAATACCAAAAGGTGAGAGTAGAAATTTTGGTAAAAGATATATTCTATGTGATGATCTAATTGTTGTCACATAACATCAAGATGAAGAATTATGGAAGTAGTACAATATTTTTATGAATTTATAGCTATAGATAAATAAGCTCCATAGTATAAAAATGTAAGATTCAAGCTAATCATATCTGAAGAACTATCTGATATTTTATTTTTCAAAAGAATTGATCGATTTACTATTATAGTCTTTGATGATCTTGCTGAAGAACCTTTAACAACTTAGCTAAAAATTGTTCCTTTCTTTAGATTAGGCAAATATGATAGAATTAGCTCAATTTATATAGCCTAACGTTTTTATGAAACCTATCTAAATATATGTGTAAATTTTAAATATATTTCATTACATCATGAATATGAAATATTAGATAGTATAAAGCGAATTTTTAAAGATATACATGATGATTTTGAGCCTCTAGCAAAAAAAATTTATGAGGTAATAAAAAAACACTTTGTGGTTATTGATATTCGAAGACCATCTGATGATCTCTTATCAATTAGATTGAGATGAGACAAACCTTTAAAAGATAGTTAAATTCAGGATAATTTATGCTTTATAACTTCATTTATATCCAAAAGACAAAGTTTTATAGAAGGTAGTTCTGTCTTTTGGTTCTTCTATATATTGAATTGGAAATGTATAACCTTGATTTCTATTTAAGGGTATTTTATGGTTCAGAATATTTTTTTCTTTATTGTAAAATAAATATAGACGAGAAAATACGCATTATAAGATATATATAATTAGTAATACTATTACGAAAATGATTGTATGCTGAAAAATAAGAAATAAGGTGATACTGAGGTTATTTCAGAGTTAGTGATTTCATTTACCGTTTTCCAGTCCTTTAATACCTCTAAATACTTCAGACTTACTAGTTATTTTTAGGATCTACTTGGCTAAACGAGTATTAGTCTCTTGAAGAAGAATTTCTTTTTCTAATAATATCTTTTGTACTAAGGACAAATTATTTCTCATCTGCATTAATTCTTCTTTTTTATCTATCAATTCTATTCGCATTGAGGTTAATTCATCCCTCAACTGAATTAATTTATCCTTTTTCTCACTTAATTTATCTTTCTTCAGATCTAAGACAATATTCTTTAGCTTAACATTTTGTCTTGACTGTGCTAATTCTCGTTTAAGAGAATCCATTTCTGATAAGTCTTTCTGTGCTAAAAAATACTTCATTTTCAACTCTTTTATTTCTGATTGGAGAGCTTATATCTCTTCCAATTTTGTAGAGATCTCGTTCTCAGCTTTTGTGAAAGAAATATCTTTATAGATGATCTGATTTTTGAGTTCTCTCACCTCATCTTCAAGTTGACATATATGCTCTGAAAGCTTTTCATTATTTTTATTAATGATCATATCTACTACCAAGCTGATTATCACAGCTTATAATAATTTCTCGATCTTGATTAGCAATTTCTCACTCTTGATTAGCATATGTAAATTGGTTTTCAAGTTCAGTTCAGCTGGATGGATACTGATTAGATAGTAAATCTTTAAGTTTATTTTTGAATATGAGGGATGTCCTATTATTTATCTCATTTAATGTATGCATATTTGCCATATAAATTTATTTGAAAGCAAAAAATCTTCTTAAAATATTTTTTGATACATCTAGATATAATGGTTAGTCAAGATAACTATTTTTTTTTGTCTGAAAAGAAGCAAGAGTTAGGAATCAATATTAAACTAATAATAAACTAATATTCAACTAGTTTAAAACAAATATGATATTTAAAGCGTATATATATTAAACCAATTTTTATTTAGATCAAGAGTAAATCATACTAGGTGGCTAAGAAATTAGAATTCTTAACATATGAAACCAATATATTACTGATATTAGACTAAGGTCAAATAATATTATGAATAAATTTTCTACAAGTTTTTTATTGGTATTATCAGTCAGGTGACATGTCCGATGATCTGCATTTCAAAATTAATCAATTATAAGATTGACAACTTGCATTATCTTGCATTATCATAGTAAAAATGCCAAAATCATATAGATAAGCATAAAATATACTATTGTACTACAGTTAATCAAGTGGGTCTAATTATAGTTTAGAGATAACTACTTTTATTTCCGTTTTTACTTTTTCCATAACCGCTTTCTTTTACAAGAATCTCTTGAACTAACATTGGCAAAATTTGAACGAAATTGGTTAATGGAGGGTGCTAGCTCCTCTTTTAACTTTAACTTTGCGAAAAGAGACATTCAATTATTAAATGAATCAAAATTCCGTAACTCTGAAGAAAATGAAAACTTCTCTAACAATGATTCTGACAATGATTCTGACGCAAACTGGGAATCTTTTGATAAACAAGCATTTAATGAGTTACCTGAACTAGAACAATTTGTATTTAACCAAGGGAAATATATTAAAGCACAAATAGAGCTTGAACAAGAAATTATAATTAGTGACGAAAATGATGATTATTATCAAGATGATATTGAGAAAACTTTATTTTCATCACCACCACTACCATCATCATCACCCTCTCCTCCATTAATTTCAACAGAAATTCCACCTCTGCCAATACCAACAGAAATTCCACCTTTATCAATACCAACAGAAACTCCACCTCCAACACATATTGAAGAACAAAACAAACCAATTTGTGAAACAACATCAACAACTTTATTATCATTATGTATCCTTGTTGATTTAGTAGATGGAAAATTACAAACTTGTGGTAGAACAGAAAATATTAAAAATATTTGTCAATTAGTTGGCATTTGGAAAATTGATACAAATGCGGTAATAGAATTTGAAGCAGATCAATTAGCATTAGGAGTATGTATGCAACATTTTAACTAT